TAAAATCTCAGATTTGGTAAAATCGAGAGATTTCATAAGGAAAGACTAAAAAATACCAGGATATTGGTAGAAAAAGTTTCATCTAACTTGCACTTGCATTAGCACCAGTATGCACGGCTCATCTCCGTTTCTGCAGGGAAGGTTCTGCCTGAGCTGACAGTCTTTTTCTCTTGCCTTTTAAACAGCGCCGAAGCAGGGATAAAAATAGATGCATGCAAGTCTGAAATTAGTTTTGAAACTAGCAGCATTCGGTATCGAAGTCAGTAGAACAAATCTAGGTCTTCCTGCAAACGGTCATTTCCCTCCAGGATATTCTTCCCCTGCCCCGTAACCTCACTTCACTCATCTGCTTTAATTTGTTCTCTAGTGAGCTGATAACAGCAGCAAGTCATGCTTTATAGCTCTACAGATTTGCAGGAATCAAAGAATGATTAAAAAAAAAAGTCTACACATGAAAAAAGTTAAGCAGCAAGTGTTTATTACTCTAATATCTGACAAAATTAGAGAGGCTACTTTGGAAAGGGTGTCTTAATACTGAAGTATACATTGCGTATGATATTTAATAACATGCAAGTCCCCAGCAGCTCATTACAAACTGAAAGACATTTCAAGCAAAATGTGTGGAATCATTAGCTAGGTCAGCTGAGTTTAAACTGGGCCTCTGACAACGGCATGCTTCACAAGCAGGAAAAAAAAGAAGCAATGATCAGAGGGCTATGTGGTGGATCACTGTATAAGACCAGATCATTCTTGATTTTAAGTAGAAAAAAAATCAGTATTAAAACTAAGAGGGTGTTTCAGACCTTCTTCCAGAATGCTTCTGGGTCAATATGCCCTCTTTCCTGGGTCAATGTGCCTCTGAATTTAGCTCACAGACCATGGATTTAATGAGACATTTTTTAAGTGACCTTATCTAACAGTAATACAATATCATTATGTCATTACACCTATTTATTTTAAGCATGGGCAACCCTGCATGGATTGGTATAAAGACAGTTTCAGATGATGTCCGTCTACGGCAGACCACAAAAGGCTCTCATTAAAACTAACAGAAATGTTTCAAAATGATGAAAAATAAATAGGAGAAATTACAGGGACTCTTCTGAGGGTAATGAATGCAAAATTTCCTTTGGGTGTTGACAGTAACAGAGCTAGCTGAAAATTCTGTGCACTTAAAGAAAAAAATTATATACTTTTCAGGCATGCTTTTAGAAACACCCTTCCTCTTTTTTTTCCCCTCCTCTCTGTCCTTCACCTCCATGTAAACCAGGATTCTCCACAGCAGCCTTCACCCATTTGACAGTAATTCCTGAACAAGGAGGCGCTCCCGACATCAGATGTTGGTGCCAACATTTTGGCTCCTAGTGCCATTGCTGGTGCCTCTAGTATCRAGCGTGTAGCCTCCATTGAGAGGCTGCTGGCCAGGCTACCACACKCACTGAATTTGAGCAGCACTACCAAAAATGCCCTATACAGCCTGCACTTACCAAGTGTATGTTATCCAGGGTCACAATGGTAAAAGGAAAGTCTCTGGTCACCTTGGCTGCTTATAACAAAATTCTCCTGAAAGTTTTAATTGATATTTAATACCACGAAGGTAACCAAAATACACATTTAAGTCTAACCCTGATAGTTTATATTCCTTCTCCCTGTGGTCTAAAGCAGAGTGAAAAGGATTTGTTTTTTACAGATGGCTATGGGCATTTCTGAAAGTTTAACAGCTAAAGAGAATTTGGGAACATGCATGGAAGAGTCAAATGTAACATGCATGGAAGAGTCAAATGTCCTCACCCTCTTTGTCACCACACAGTAGTTGTGGGGCCAGGAAAACACAGCCAGCTGGCAGCCAACACGAACCAACGTGACATGAACGGCACCCCTTTAGTCAAGCCTGGGCTTGAGCTCCCTGAAGTCTTTAACAGAGCGCTCTCGTGCTCCAAGCGAACAGGGCTGGGTCTCTAGTACCTAGGCTGTGGGAGTTTTCCTTTAACATATCCAAAGATTTCAAAGTTTCAATAGTTCCAGGAAAAGTACACATTTTCCTGAAAACACACATTTCAGTGAGATTTGTAGCCAGAGACATATAATTCTTGGACGGTTTTCACTTACACTTTATATCAGGGTGGTAAGGTCCTCGAGACCAAAGAACTAGACTTGCTCAGAAGAAATCCTCTTCTAGGGAGGGCAGCCCTGCTCCTGTCCCTCCCGATCTGCTCACACAAGCACTTCGAACAAGGGAGGACTCTCCTACCATGGCAGACAGTGATGTAGAAGACAACAGCTGTTTACTGATAGGACAAACAGCCTGTGCAGTGGTTCACGTTAACCTTAGTCAGGCCACCAGGCAAATAAGAGGAAGAGCAAGGGTAGAAATCATCTTCCACGGGCTTTGTAGCCATTTAGCTCTTTTGCAGAGACTGTCTTACCCGAACAGCTGCATCCTTGCAATGGGAGAGGGCAGGAGAATTCAGCTCCTGCTATATCCCTCGCTTCTGATTCATGCTCCATCTATTTTCTCCTTGCATGTGCTGCCCCGCCGAGAATTTATGTGCTTGAAAAAGCTGAGGATACACGAACCCTGTAGATCATATTCCCACCTAACATGCCTTGTACTGTAAAACTATATTGTTATTTATATTCAAACASAGTAAGGCACTTTCAAGTCAACAGATTGGCTGCTGTTCTTGCAAACATTTTCTGGTTAGCTAGTAAGGAGAAAAAAAAAACAGTCTTATAAACTGAATAGTTTTCTTTGCATGGCCTGGTAAATGAAGCTGTGAATGAGCTCTGCAGAACTGCTGCTGTTGGGGTCTTGGTTCTATTAATCAAAACCTATTAACAGTTTTTTCTCCCCCATGTAACCTTTTAATCTAGTCCAAACATTCAAATRGATTCCTAGCATCAAATATGAAAAATAACATAGGAATGTAAGCCAGTTATTATTTAAAGATAACTCTAAGTATATAAATTAGAAAGCTAATCAAAGGATGCAGCTTCCCACAGAAGCAGCACTAGCTAATGGAGTCTATTATATAGCAAGAAACAGTAAGACTTGTAAAAGAGCATTATCTCATATGAACTGTTTAAAGGGCAATCAGCTACTACTGAAAATCCAGTTGCTTTGAATCATTTACAGAGGCTAAAACTCAAAAGCCTGATCCCAGAGCCCAGCTGAATCAATGGAAATCTTTTCACCGACTTCTCTGTGCAGTTAGTCASGGTGCTAATTACAGAGAGAACGATACCTAGTACAAATACTTACAAACTAAATGATGGTTCCAAATAAGAGTAGAAATGGGAATCATGATCAAGTCAATTACATTATGTGGAGGCTAAAGCAGAGCAAACGGTGCCTTCAGCTTCTCAGTGTGTCTGACTAACCAAAACGATGGAAATTATCCAATACTAGCAAGGTAAGGGCTTTCTGCATTAATGCTTCAATTGTTTATTTTCTAGTGTTGTGATTTTATTGATAATTATTCATTCCAAAATTTTGGAATTCTGCAGTGAATGTCTTAAGTGCTTGCATTTTTAAAAGTAAATTTATTTGTCTTAATAGATTTCTGATCCACTCAACTGAGGGCTTAAGTTCTCCATAGGTGCAATATTTGAGTAAACACATCAACACTGAGGCCATTGCATAAATGATGTTACTGATAGCAAAATTTTATAGCTTTAGTCACAAAATAATTTTTAAAAGTGTCTTAATATTTAATGGTTAATTTCATTTCTGGGCTATAAAGCAATTAAAACAAATAGAGGTGGGTTTATATTGACAGAGGTAGTGTTTTTTATTTTTCCCCCCCGAGTGGCCCACAGCAAAAAGCAACTTTTAAAGAGAATGCAAACTGCGTTGCCCATAAATCCTTGTATATTTTTTCCTTCATAGTTGGTTTTCTGCCAGAATGAATAAAAATTACTCTGCACATTGGAGAATTTACAAATTCTAGAAATGCAMACTTGAAAATTGCAATTTGTTGTTAAGTTAAATTCAGTTTATTCTGGCATTTAAAAATTTTGAAGTCTAATAACGTAATTTCTTACATAACAACTATATAAAAGTCTGATGAATATATTAACTCAACATCAGGTGCTTCAGAAACAACTACAGAAAAATCACTCCTACACTGCAACCACATGTATGCAGAACACCAGGCACTGCGTTAAATAAGGACAGTTTCTCACAATTGTGAATCTCCAGTTTCCACAACACAAGTTAGATGGAGACAGYAGTAGCTTTTCTATTTTATTTTTTGAAGATTGCTTTTCTATTTAAAAAAAAGACTCTGATTTATGATTCTAATTTAACTAACAGAGGTAGTGTTGCTAATACGAGGCGCTGAGCTACTCAGCCATTTCATTTAAAATACTATCCTGGCAGACTTATTCAGCCATAGCATGGGTAGGGGAAACAGTTTCATGACTGCAACATGCCAGTATTACTGAATGTTGATTTCAGAATGTGTTATAATGCACAAATTACTTTTAAATTCCATGTCCCATGAAAAAAAMCTTTTTTTTTTAACGAAGTAGTGACATTTTTCTATGCAAGTATAAAAATAAAAATATTGCAAATGTGTAAAACCATGAATTAGCTGAATCTATGAATTTAAAAGAAACTCCTGATGCAAATAAAGTCAGGGTCAATCAGTTCACAAAATACAGCCCTAAACCTGTAACAATTTTCAGATGTGCTAACCCATATATATTATACGCTGAAGTCAAAGGGACTACCAAAAGGACTCAAGTAAAACCTACACATCAGTCTTGACAAAAATCAAGGTTTATATTGATATATTCCTAGCTACTCATGTTACTAGACTTAACCTAGCTGTATGTGAAGTTTCTGGTAGTCTTCCACATACTGTGCATATGCATACACGTGTGTATGTATACATGTATATATATGCACATATATCATGTTACCACCCTTTTAATCATCGCTAATATCAACTTAGAAATATAGTAAGATGTTCAAAAATGTTATTTTTGCTACTTACCTGTCTGTTACGTTCATCCATAATCCTCGTAATCTGAATCTTTTTTCTCCCCATAGTCCCCGTTTTTTTGTCTCTCCTTCTTCCTTGAAATTATGTATTTTTCCCTTCTCTTCTCTTCCTCTTTCCCGTTCCTCAAAACAAGTCTCCTTCTTCAGCACTTGCACTACTCAGTTCACTGTCCCCTGCATCCGTCCCTGCTAAACACACAAAGGAAATCAAATGTTACCACAAAATTGATAACCAGATGAAAGTTACCATAAGGAGTTGGCCAAGTAACCCAATTATAATTCAGCGTACAAGTTAACTGTAATAAATATTTACTGCCTCTATAGAGTACTGCATAGGAAAATAGSTACAATATAATTCAAAGCTTTCTTTTTACAAACACCCACCCTTACACATCTCTCAAGAAATGCGTAAAAGCACCAAAATGCACATTGCCAAAACTTTAACCGATTTAGGTATCTCTAGTTTTAAGTATTGCTCGCTGTACCAGTATGAAAAATTACCTAAAGCAGAGAGTTAATGAACCTTTCTGTACCTATGTATGCTAAGTAGGCCAGCTAATTCATTTCTGGAGGGAAAACAATCTTGTGTTTTGACAGCAGAGGTGATAATGTCCCTCATTATGCAAATAGGATGGACCTTTATGAAAGTGGTATTTGATGTATGAAAAACATCAGCGACTTTAAATCCCCAACTTTTAAACTTATTTGTTAGGAATACAGGCTACGTGAGCATTACTTCAAGGAAAGGAGCTGTGCATTTTCCCTGGCTGTATTTCCGAGCGAGTCCCGAGTCCTGCCGGTGGGTGATTTATAACTAGCAAACACGAATGTCTTGCCTTACAAGAAATCCTGTGCACTAGAAGCCAGGCTACACAGCACAGAGCAGTAAGGACAGACGATAAGTGAAGAATGTTTTGAACAAATATTTTCACAGATTTAGTAATGAACTGATACTAGCTCCCTGAGCCTTATAATAATAGTCGAACTGCAAAACTAAGGACACTTAGACACAACACAGAACAGATGCACGAAGCCCTTCCTAGTTCACAAAATGCCAGAAATCATGATTTTTAACATGTGCAAGAKCATTTGAAGACAAAAAAGACTATATAACATATATCAAATTACACAAACGATGATCAATCACACTAAAAGATGCTCACATTTTTCTGTTTTTAAACTGTTTAACATATTTTTATATTTACATGTTTTGAACATAAAGGATAGTTCTTTTAAATACAGTAGAGAAAACCATTTTGAAAATGAATCACTTCAAATGATTTCWTTTTTTTTTACTTGGCTCTACATTGTATTAAAAATACTTATTTGGTGACCAGAATTTAGTAATTTTAAAGCAGACGCTGGCATTTCCTTACTTATTTTAAGCTCATAGTCTCGCAGACAACCTGCTCAATTCCCACAATATGTTACGTAACACTAAGCCGATGTCCTGGCCACTTAATCCATTATTTGGCTCCAATTCAAAGCTACTGAGGTAGAAAAGCTGGGCTTCGCTCTTTCTGCTCTTCAATTGTCTCTCGATTCTCTTTGCATATATTAAACTTGAGGCTGCTCAGTGTTTTATCACTCTAAGAAAAAAATGAGGTAACAAATAGCAATTGGCTGGAGAGTTTTAGACTCTTAGCCAGCATGACATAATTCAATATTTAGGTAAAAGAAAGTTTCAGGTGTCATAAGCCCTACCTTTCTGTGCACAAACGTCTCTCTACATCCCATTACTGTGCTGAAGGATAGGGCATATAAAGGGGGACAATTTGCATTGTAAGCACTATGAAGTGTAAAGACTGCAGAAACTTTTTGCTGCTTTTCTACCTCTTGGCAAACAGTTCAGCAACTTTTGACTGCTTAAAGAGCTGGAACGAAACAGCTTTTCATCATATTTGTCATAAAAACAAAAGTGCACAACATTGAAACAAATTACACAGAATCAATGTATTTACACAAAGTTCCTGGGTTTTTATTTTTCTTTCCCAAACTGAGCTAGGCGACGCTCTTATCTGATATTCCATGTTGACAAACAAACCCGGGCTATTTTTAGGAGCAGTCTTCAATTTCCCTGGCCTGGGTCTCTTTCCTGTTTTTCCCAGAGCCTTACCTCTGCTACAGAGAGCAAGTTAGAGCTGTGTTTCCCAGGCACATGCAGGACCCCAAGGAGCCTAAGAGGCCGTCTCGGTAACAGTAAGCCAATAGCTAATCCACAGCAAACGCATATAGAACAATTTCCTTCCCTTTCATTGAGCTGCAGCCCGTGGCACTATCGGCTTACGGCACTGTGCCTGCCTAAGCTCCTATTCACTTGAAGGTGGAAGGTCAGGGTGCGCAGATTAGAGCAGTGGTGACGGGGTTAGCACGGACGAGAGCTGCTTTGCAGATCAGGATTCTGCTGCTGAATGAGTATAGAAAAAAATAAATCACTGAATACTGAGAAAAAAATACCAGGAAGGGCACAGGCAAATGTTAGTGGAGCAGCAATATGGTGAGTCCCTCCCACACACTTATTCACTTCCACATTTGAGATGCGCACAGCGGTTTCTACGTTCCAGGCTGCAAGCAACGAAAACTTTTATAGGCAGTTCAGAGTCAGAACATTTAATTCCTAACATGTACACAAAATCATCTTAAACTAAGCCACGCAGCACTTGATGAGCTGAATTTTGTTCTTCATTACCTGCAGCAACCCACTAAGTACACTAATTTTACCCAAAGTGGGAAAATGGAGGAGCAAGAAAATAAAAGCGAGGGAGCAATGATTATTTTGTCATTAAATGTTATCATACAACCTGAGAAAAGCTGAAGGAGAAAAAAACATGCGTTAGACCATCTATACCCACCATACAATTTCTGAAGAAATGTAATTCCACTTTTGAGAGGCAGCAAGCCATCTTTTCTTGAATTCATTGATGAAAAAATAGTGCTCTCATTTGGTTTTGGCTTACTAATCTAACTTCAAATAAAAACGATTCYGTTTGTCTAGCAAATTTATTTCCTTTTTTATAATTTCTGCTATTTTTACTGCAACTAGAAGCAAGGTGGAAACGCCGTAGCACTCGATATCTGCCTTGCTATTTATACACGTACACGTGGAGCGCCACAGGCCGCTTTGCGCCCTTACTTAATAAAGTCTACATTCTGTTCATGTCATTAGCAGGGAGAGACACCCACGTCCGCACACGGAAACAGAGAGTCCGGAGTGATTTCAAACCGATGGAGGCTGGAGGGGTGAATCATGACATCTGACTCAAGGGTGACAGCCCTCGGAGAYGGGCAACTTCAGGGTCAACAAGATTGTGAAGAGCCCCGGGGACCAGCAAATCTCCGCRGCTGCTTTAGGTCTTCGGCGCTGCTCCCAATACTTCTGAGAGTTCTTGCAGGATTAAGGATTACGAGATTAAGTACTTACAGTTCCCGTTAACTGATTGAACCGTAGCGCCCAAACACAAATAAAGCGCCCTAGCTAGGAAAGCTGAAAGTGCTACAAAACTTAAATAGTACTGCAGGCTTCCATTATRGAAGAGAAGGTAAAAAGGACCTTAAAATAATTCCAGAAGCTTTGCTGAAATAGCTCTCCACATGAAAGAAACCTTCCAACATAATGACATGGTTACATGTAAACAATTTGCATTTAAAGAAATACATAGTTACATGCTGTGCTGTTACCATCCTCAGCACTTTTTTTTTTTGCAAACCCAAACATTGCAAAAACAACCGCCCCTCAGAGAGAAGGAAGAAAAAAAAAAAAAAAAAAAAAAAAAGGGAAAAAAAAAAGGTCAGGCTGCTCACAAAAAGAGGAACATCTTGCTTTTGGTGGGCTCCTGCGCACTGTACGATTTGGCAGGGGCAGAGAGCGCCAAGGGCACACAGACCCAAAGGCGGCGAAAAGAGGAACGGGCTCAGGGGGCACGGGTGGCTCGGACGCTGCTCCGTCGCTTCCACAGGTCACGCAGAGGCGCCCACGGGGGAGCGTCGGCCCCGGGGCGCCCACGGGCACCCACGTGCTGCCGCCCGCGCGCGCTCGCTGCTCTCCGCGGCGCACAAGAGCCCCCACAGAATGGCCGGAAACACGCACGGAGCGCTCGGGGAAGGACGTGATGTCAGCGACCGCGAACAATAAAAGGTGTAAAGGTGCTTCCTTCCCTAAACTGTTCCAGAAGGGCAAAATGGGAACCAAAACTCTCCACTTCCTTCTCTGAGCAGAACCGTCTGAAGCTGCCCTGCTGCAGCGGCCTGGACAGAGAGCTCTTTGAAYGCGTCGCACCGGGAGCGAGAAGGGGGAGCAAAACAGGAGAGCCTAAATATTTTATTTCTAAACAAGAAGGTGGCCAGCACGAAATGAAGTTAAAATGTGCTGGGGATTAGGGTGTTCATGGTTGCTTTGCAAAAGAAACAAACTCACCATAAAGATGTCTCTGTCTCATTAGATGGCTTGCACTCTAAGCAGATTAATTGGATCCAAATTAAAGAATCTAATTGACCTTTTTCACATTTTGAAATGTAAGGGGAAAAAAAAAAAAAAAAAACAATGCCACCCCAATTCTCTTATCAATCTTATCTTAAAAACGATAATTCATTTCAAAGAGCACCAAAATCAGTGCAAGACTTTCTGTTCACACCAAAGGATTTTGCATCGGATTCCAAATGAAAACAAATGTACAAAAAACTAAATCAGCTAAATCAATTTGATGGAAAAATAGCCAGAAAAGAACAAGGTCATGAAAATCTACATCAGATCATATGCTTTCCTAGTGAAACTGTCACYGAAACCTTATCTGCAAAAACCCTGGCTGATGAAGTGCCCATACAGGGACAAAAAGAGCCGCAGTAAAGAGAGAAACGGGCAACCTGCATCAAATAAAGACACCGATCACTTCATGTCTGTCACTTGAGGTTGGATAAAGTTGCAATAAACCCAGAAAAAGGTGAAAGTAACATTCATCTCTGATATTATCACCCTGAGACCAGCTGGCGTTACATTCAAGATCCAAGCGGTCCTTTGCCTTCGATGCGGTTTCATTGCTTGGTCGTTACAGAGGACGCAGCTTTGTCCATTAATAGAGATTTTTGGACAAAATTACATATGTCAGCGCCGTGACAATACCTCAGTAATGCAGAAACGGCACCACGTACAGGGTGGCTACGTGGGCAGAAAGTTGTGCAGCAAAGGAATCCAA